TCCAATGAAAATTTTAGATTATTACAATTCTTTATAATTGTCCTTTCAAGTCACAACCAAGCATTAATTAATAAGATGCTACCGTTATATTAAACTTATCATAAATCAATTTAAATATAGACAGATAAAGACTATTGGAATATTTTATATCATTGGTAATATTTTCGTATTTAATGTTATGTTTTTTGGCCACAACACCTGTGATTATGCCACCCCATACTTCTGCGCTATCACTTGGCATGATGGTTTTAACTTTTAAAGAACTGGCACCTAACACAAAAAACTTGTCAAGGTTTGGTGTATTAGTCTTTTTGAAAAAAAGCCCAATCCCATCCAGAGCGATAATTATTACCCTTTTACATTTTTTAGTAACTTTATCCAAAAAACAAAAACTTGTAACCACTATTCATGATAACAGATAAAAAAAAAATAGACAGAATCCAACAATTCACGTTAAACATAAACGTGAATTTAGGATTCTGGTTAAACAATTTATGTATTTTTAAAATTATTCAGCGATCAACAACAATTATTTATATCCAAGTTATTGTTCATATAGTAGAAACAGAATAGAATACATTAAGTTTGGAATTCTAATTAGGGTGTTGTGAAAGAAAATGTAATCACGTTTAATGCTATATGTGTTTATTTGCACATCAGTGTCCCATGTAATAATTATTTCTCTCAAACTCACGCATCTCTTTAATCTCAAATATAATTGAATGAATTGTATTATCCTCGTTGTTGAAATTAAATTTCAATTTACATTTCAATTAACAAATATTAATTTACATTACAATCCGTTAGTTTTTAATCGAAATCTAAAAACGTCTCTTTGAAACTAAAATAATTGCAAAAAAAGTTGTTATCAATTTTCTAACTAAGATCAATGATTACAATTATAATAATTTTCATTTTTGTTTAAATGTCAAGATTGAACTCACAAGAATTCATCGAAAAGGAATTTTCAAAATTTTAAATGACTATAACTTTTTATCTAAGAGGTTTTAAAAAAATCCACTCGGCAACTTTATAAAGCTATATCAGCTACAAATGTGCCAAATATCTTTTCAAAATGCATCAACTCTTTACAGTGATGAGATTTTAAAAAGATATTTGGCACATATGTAAAGTTGATATTACATTAAGTTTAAGGTATCCTAGAGATGTGAAATATTTATTGGTTTTTAGAATATGATCGTACCTCTACCCATTAGTCTGTTCTGTTCTGTGAACCGAATATTAAACAGTAATATCTTATTAATTAATGCTTGGTTGTGACTTGAAAGGACAATTATAAAGAATTGTAATAATCTAAAATTTTCATTGGA